GGGGGGGGGGGGGGGGGGTGGATTTTCGGTGATGTGGGGTTGTGGTGCATTTTCCGCCCACTGTCGCAAAGTCAAAATGCAGCGTTTACAGTGTATGGCGAACATAGTACCGATTGCTGTACGAAGAGCTCAAGCAGACAGCATGCATCTGACAGAGGTGAAGTCATCTCGTCAAGGCCAGCAAAAACCTCACTACACCTTTAAGGAAGTTGCTTGCAAGATGACTTGCCTTCCTCTTTAGCTGCTTTAGCTATGAAAGCACAGCTCAATCGCAAGCCCCGCCATATCCCGCCATTCGTCTGCCGTGAGAGTGGAAACGAAATGAAAATTGCAGATGAGGTTTTCGAAAAGGGTCAATTGGAGGGAGCGGCCATTGGGAGCACATTCGTTTATGATGATTTTCCTTCTGGCTGCTTTGGGGACCAGCATTCTGAACAACTGCCAGACATTTCCTGTGTTCTACAGCGAACAGATTCGTACATCATCACAACGGGCAGGGTAGAGCTCTAGGACTCCATGCAGGGTTGTTTAGTGCGTCGTCATTCTCCCAGGGGCTATCCTGCAACACCAGATCTCAAGGACTACGAACTCGGAAAGCCTCAGTCCTAAGAGTAGGACTACACCCAAAGATCCGACACCAAACACCCTGAACCTCCAGCCCGGGTCAGACTCTGAGTCCCAACCTTTCAACCCAAAAAAGTAGACCCTAAAGCCCAAATCCAGTAAGGATTTTCAACCTCGTAGGTTTTTGGCACCGGCAAGGACCATCATAAGGGAAGGACAGTCATCATGGACCAGTTCCCACGAAGCGAAGCCATAAAACCCAAGAGCTCGGAGAAAAAGGGGGGTCTCTTTACCTCGCATTGCTGCGGTTGAAATACGCATCGATGGGCGCCCACACCGGAAAACCGTTTTCAAACAATCTCTTCTATTTGTGAACGATCCGATGGTTTCACGTGGAATCGAGCGTCTAGATGGGGAATGGGGTTTGATTGTTCTGCTGCCACTGATGAATCACGTGGCCCTGTGGAAAATAGGTCCAGCTCATCCAAACAAGTCTCGGTCTCACACTGTTTGGCGCTAGGTACACGCACGCGCTAAGACACACATACACAGGACATAGAGACAGAGACACACCTACATGGGCAATGGCTGGTTTGGGAGCGCTGTGATGCCACTGATGTGCGTCTTGTGCATGCGCTTGTGTCAGTGTCAAAATATGATTTAGAATGCAATGAAAAGGACTTGACACCCCAACGTCCGCGGCATATCCTGAAAATTCAGCCTGCGCGACTTGGGGACCAAAAACAGCGTGTACATGGGGATTAGCATCTGATGATGTGTATTCTCGCCGCTGATGTGTGATTCCTTGAAACAGCATCCACACACGGGTGATGTGTATTCTCGCCGACTGATGTGACATAAACCCTACGCTCGTAGCACTTGCGTCGCAATGAGTTGAAAAGCCCGCTGCAGAGAGCAGCACCGAACTCTCGAAAGAGACAGCCCCGAGTACCTAAAATTCAGGGGGTGCCACAGTATCCCTCTACATTTCCAGACACAGAGACACAAGTATGAACTTAAGAATAGCCGAAATGAGTAACAGACAGCATCAGCAAACACACTAAAACAAAGCATCCGGCTGCAGCAAGAGATGGCACAGTTCTTCAAAGTACCGGAACCACAAGACTGGAAAAAAATAGACCAGCCACTGTCTTTCTCTAGGAACTCCGAGCAGAGATCCATCGCCTCTCCTCCCGTTTGGCGGCATTGGAAGTCCGCTTGGACGAGACGCGCGGATGTGTTTGGTGTCTGATCTTTGGGATGGTTTTCGGGTGTGTCCGATTTTCGAGATTTTGACGCTTCTCGATGGGGGTCAGCAGTTTCGGTGTGCTTAATTAAGCAATCGAAGAGCTCACAGAGGATGACCATCTAAAGGCAAGCGTACGCATAGCTTTCTTTTTCAAAACTTCCGTACCAAACCAAACTTATGCGAGGGTCCAGACCCGGAGTTCTGGGGCGGCCCAAGCGATTAAGGAATCAGGGCACTTCCGCTGCCCAGACTTTGGTGTGAGAAAGGCGGTCACCTTGCTGTCTCAGGGCTTCGTGAGTTCAATTTCGCTTTAGTGTGGAGCGATAGGTGGGTGGGACTGAGGATGCAGGCTGTTGGGTTCATGGTTGTGACGAGGTGCCTCAGTCCAACTTCGGGAGACTTGGGTGCTTCAAAACCAGGAAGGGCAATGCTGCCAGCGCCGTTGTGGTGGAACCAGAACCGACAGCCCCGCCGGCACTGCCAAAGGCAGAGGCCAGGCTTTAGCCTTGGCGCAGGGATCAGGCTTTCGGCTTTCAAGTGCTCGGCTCGTGAATTTCGCTTTCCATGCGGCCATTCCGTTCCCGTGATGTTGGCTCCTTTGATGTGCGTGCCAGTAAAACGAGGCTTGAGAAGCGTGCTAGCACAAGAGCAGACTTTTGATGGATGCAGTCTGCCAGGACGCTGAGATCGCCGAAGAGAAGCCAGTTCAACTAGCTGAGAGCGCTTGGAGTCTTCACTGCGACAAATTGAAGTGTCAGTGTCTCAAGACATGCGAACGGTCGGACCCTGACAAGTGGGCCTTGTTCTGAGCGATGCCGAGATGTGCGTGAGGGAGGCGCGGATACAGGCAGGGCATGTCAACCAACTGCGCTTTTGATGAGGCCTCGGTTTGTTTGTAAGATCTGTGTATCCCGCAACCGCGGATGCAGGACCAGTGTAGTGACTAGTGATGATTGCCTGGTGGGGCTGCGACATCTGAGCACAGAGTTTCTTACCTAGAACATGGGGATGACGTCGCAGGATTGTTCCCCGTCCGGCTCGCAAGACTGTACAGGGAGTTTGCAACGGCCGAGGAACCTTTTTGCCGTTGTGGGGCTCACGGACGCTGGATGGCTGGACGCGCTATTTTCGGTTCTGATCCTGCTTGCGAGCCTCGCAGCTATTTCGTTTACTTTAGGAGATCCTGTAGAATCGAGGAAGTGCTAGGGCAGTGTGAGGCATGCTGGATGTGGGGTCAGGATATGAAAGTGCAGAATCGTCATGCTCTCCTCCTCATGGCTATTCCCGTCCCTCGCCTCCTCCTCCTCATCATCTCTTGGCGCCTCCAGGTTTGGGTTTCATTTCATTTTTTGCAGAGTATCTGGGAGTCTGGATGCCACTCCTCTGAGGAATGTTGTTATGCAGACCTTGCCGCTCGGCATCTTCGCACTTGACTTGAGAAGAGGTCGCTTCCATACTGCTCTTGGCCGCCAGCCTCGCTTGATCTTTGCCTTCAGGGTCCAAGGGCCCAAACTTCTAGCCTGGCTCTAGACCGTGCGTTCCCATTGTGTGAGCCAAGAGACGCAACACTCACCCTGCACTTGCACCAAGCTTTCCACCTCTCAGAGCAGAGGTTCATCAACATTCTGTTTAACAAAAGCTTCCTTGGAGATCCGTTTGAGGACGGGGCGTCTGGGCTGGGGAGTCAAAACGAAGCACGAGTTCTAATGGGAATCTGGTTCAGGGTACTCTTTCAGACTGTATGGCAAGGCAGTGTTACATGCGGATCTCAGAGAGCCATCCAGTCCCAAATGCAACTCGGCTTGCTAGTCCATGGTGAAGCTCCCTGTCAGACCAACGTGAAGAACACGAGAATCTGGCGAACAAGCTTGGCACACTCCTTCAGGCAGCTTCGGGCAGGGTGAGCTTTGGAGATTGTTTGCCTGGGCCACGCTCGTTGATGCCACGTCTCTTTCAAGGGCTGCTGCTGTGCCACTGCCCATCACTGGCCCCGTTCATCGATGTTTCCCTTCGCCTGGCTCGAAAGGCACATCTGAATCTGTGTTCTCAGCTTTGGAAGAGCCGTGATGAGAGGTACATGGACCTGTCGCAGACGAGCCTTGTGACCCGCGTCTGCGATGAAGACAGCTCCCTCCTCGTTGCCTCCACGCAGGCCTGGCCATAAAAAGAGAGTAAAGATGAGTAAAGATAAGAGCGCAATCGAATACCCCTTCTCCCGCCATCTCCCGCCTTGCCCTCTGCTTTCCTTTACCTCCAGATCACCGCCCTGTGCCCAGCTGCTTTGCTCTGCGAGGCCAAGTTGCTCTCGGACATCAACAAGTTCCTTGCTGCACCCGCGCCTTTCCCAACTTGCCTTTCCCAATAGAAGCTTCCTCTTCGAAGTTCTCCTGCAGGAACTCTTAGAACTAAAGCTTGACTCACTATGCCGCTTCTGCAACGCGCAAGGTTCCTGGGAATACAAAAGACTGCCTTCGAAGCCACCTTCGATCAGCCAGGCCCAATTGGGCGGGTGCAGAGGGTACGGGTGTAGCCGTGTGGCGATGTACGTCAGAATGCGCTCCTGCCTCGAAATGCCTCGTGGGCGCCGGAAAGAATGCTTTAGCCTTGGCTGCAAGGTGTCACACTTTGCATGCTGTGCATCATCTTGTGGATTCTTGGCAGCATCGTCGGCTCCTGTCAGAAGAACCGGTGCCTGGTACAGCTCCCCCAATCACTGGAGTGCTCCAAAGCTTGTGTCCAACTGTGTCGCATTGACCTCCACCAAGACCTCCAAGAGGACTCAAAAGTACAGCAGGCATGCGGCACGATCACTCGACCAGGTCGCCTACGGAGTACTGTAGTTCTGCAGATGCAAGCCTGAGATACCGTACAGAAGGGGACAGCGTGCCTTGCATCGCTGGCCCAGGAATCTCTGCGTGTATCGTGAACTTCGAAACATTTGGCTGAACCTGCAGGCGGTGCTTTGATGCACGCAGCCTCAGCCAGGGGATACTAGAGACCGGGAGACAGCCCAGAAAGAGCGTGGGATATTGCGCCCTGTCGACCTTGGTCTTCTTTGGATTCGTGGGATATTGACCAGGCGGTGCTGCAGCTGCCGCGGGCACAATCTACGGAGCTCCACCAGGGAACCTTCCGAAGTCTCTCCTTCTGGCGGTTCCTCGGAGAGGATCCAGTGGCTGAAACTAGTTAGATCTAAGAAGCACCTGGTGCACCTTCCCGGCTCTTTGCATCCTGGTCTTCTCGGGAGAGTTGTCGCCAACTGCGAGCTTGCCATGCTTCTTGCATCGTGTTGCTTTCCAGATACATGCAACTCTCCATCTCACTCAGAAGCGCACCAAATTAGATTGCTGAATTCTAAGAACTCAGCAATGAAGTGGTTTGAATTTCGAGGTTTTCCATCATCGTGATGGCCTACATGCTTCGTGCTGCACTCGCAATTGCGCTGCTGGTCGGTGGAACGTTGCTGTGCTTCAGTTATGGTGCGTCAGCGGTGGATCTGAGTTTCAGCAGCAGATCTCTCTTGAAACACGAAAGCTAAAGCAAGGTACCAACCCGTTTCTGTTTCATCAAGCGTTGATGCAGCATGCTGCTACCACAGCTAAGGCATTTTGTTTGCTTCAGCCCTGCACCCCCATGTCATGAACATACCGTGAACCCATCGAGAGCTTTAGCCCACCTCGTAGAGCTCAGGCAGTGGCTGGGGCGCACCACCTCCATTGCAGCTTTGATTCTGATTGTCATGGCTTGGATGGCGATGATGGTGGTGGTGGTGAGTGCTGCTACGATAATGGACCAACTTTATCCAGTCTCAGCTTCGATTATAGGTTTCGATTATCGTAGTCTTTCAGCCTCCGGCGATGAGCTAGGTGGACCTGATCCTGAACGCCGTGGCTCTGAATGGCATCTTGGACATCGACGAGTTCCTCTTCGAGGCGGCTGTGTCGTGATTAGGGCGAAGTTCTCGATGGGCAATTCCCAAGCTGGGCTTCCTGCCAAAGCCCGGCCGGTCTGCCTGGGCAGACTTCAGCTCAAGCTAAAGTTTCGGGGTCTCAGATGGGGATCAGGGATGAGGGCGTGGGCGATCGGAGGTCTTCAGAAGATTTCAGAAGCCTCGAAGCCTGAAGGCTCAAGGGGGAAGGAGAATTGCAAAAGATGCTGCGTGGAGGCGATGGTGCCCACGAAGATCCAGTTGGCGATCCAAAAGCCACTGGGAGTCAGCGAGTTGCTGTAGTATCGGGTTAGGACATGAAGGCAGGCAAGCCGTGCTGCTAGTTTTGGGATCTCTGTTCAAGTTTGCCTGTTTTGAGAGCTGCCGAGCCGAGGCTTCAGCCGATACAGCTGAAATACACGAAAGGGAAGAGCCAGGCGGAGTCAGCCCTTTGGCGGCGCTTGAGTCCGGAATAGATCTGCTCCGAACTAGCGGATTGCTGAATGCGGCAGAAAGCAAGCGATCCCCAGGCATAGCCTGAAGCCTCCCTGCCAGAGGCTTTCAACTTCACGATGTTGCTCATAATGCTCTTGGTGCCTTACCTAGTGCTCATCGTGCCGCTGACCCAGAGACGCCGGGCAAAAAGAAGTGAATCCGAGGACATCTCGTTGCAAGGCTTGGAAGTTCGCCGGTTGTGGGGTTTGAGGCGCACATCCATCCCAGGAATGCTCGAAGTGAAGCGGGAGATGTGCTTCGGCATCCAGAACTTCGCTGCTCGGCTCGGGTCTTCGGAATGTCTTTGCACATTGTTGCGTGGGGGCGCGTGGAGGCTTTTGCCATCAGCAAAACAAGGCTAACTGCCGTGAGTGCCGTGCTGCTTTCAGCTGATCCATTGGGCTCAGAGCGATACGACTTTCCGGGCACCCCAGCCTGCAGCGCGTGTAGACAATCGCTTGCTCACCAGGCAAGGACTGATTGAGGTGATGAAATCTGGTTACAGTATCTCAACTCAAATCTGCGCCCGACTATCCCTTTATCCACCCTGAAGGCGGTACTCCAAAGGCAGTTGCTTAGGAGGCCTTCAAGTGACTTTCTTCAGCCGAGGTCGTCGCCTACAATTCCGATGCACCTTGCATGCTTGAGGGCTGCAAGCTCCAGCATCGAAGGGCTCGAACCACCTAGACTGGTTGAGACACAAAAAAGCCCATCTAGAGCGGAAGCAGCACATGACAGTCTTGCGTTCTGACCGCAATACACTGACTTCGAGCAGTGCTCGGCAGCAACCTGTAGTCTAACAGGTAGCTTTCAGGTCTACCCACGGATAATTCATGGCCGTTCTTGACGGTCTGGGCGATCCAGCCCCGGCATTTCGGTTCTGACACATTACCAATGGACGCCCGAGGGTAAGAATTTCGTATTGAATGGAAACAGAAGCAATGCTTCTGGAAATTTCAGTTCAGTTCAATCGCATGAGGTCGAGTCGAGAAGCTGTCGGGCATGCGAGCATAGCACCACGGAAGCTGCAGCCAAAGCCGTGATAGCTACCATGATAGCATGTCCCACTAATCAGAAGGCGTTGCAACACTTCGCCACGACATGCTGGCAACGATCAGAGGACGTCACAGTGACGCAGAGAACAGGGAAGGAGCCAGTGAAAGAGTGCTTCAGCATTCAAGGTCGGAATGGCCTACGGGCTCATGACCAACGAGAAGCGCTTCGTAAACGCGCTGACCTTGGCCGAGGTGGGAGCCTATGATTATGATAGGCGCTGGAGGCGTGTTTTTCAGCGGCGGTCAGCATTGGGCTCCTGCAAAGAATATACAAGGCATTGATTGATGACAATCATCGGCATTTTGTCAACATGCATCGAACTGCTTATTCCGTTTCCTAATTCGAAGAGATTTTCATGCAGACAGAAGATGTACCGATTGGTAAGTAGGTAATTAGGTGTTACCATTCAGTGCGGCCACTGTGCGCCGCGATGTTTCTCTGGGTTCCTCCAGATTTGCGGTATCCCTTGGATCCTGGTGTATCCCACGGCCCACAGCTGCATGAACCAGTATTCGGAACGCTTGCTCTACATAGGTGAATGCACCATGCGCTTGACTGTTTTCATTCCCACGACCTCGTCTTGATTATGAACTCATCGAAGAGGCATTGCGCGAGACCTTGTGGAGCAGGGGCATGCTTGATGACCGGAGCCTTGCTAGAAGTATCACCAAATAAACGCGAAGAAGCAGGAATGAAGTCTGCGGTTCTGATCGTTGCACTGGTCGCAGGAGGCCGTGAACGAATACAAGTTCAAGCTAGACGGGCCCTGGACGCCGGCGCTTCGGATACTGTGATAAAGCTTGATGGACCTTTTTTTCAGAATGTAAAACTGTTGCTTTGATATCTTACTGCAGAAGACTTTGTGGGGGATCGCTTGTTCATAGCCTACAGCGTGTGGCGGCAAAGCATGGAGCCGCAGCCTTCCTGTCAACTCACAAGCAGTAGCACTGAAGAGGTCCCCCAATCTTGCTAATCGCTGCATACTTTTCTTTTGCCCCCCTATATTCAGTACCTTCTGATCCAGAATCGCCGCCGGAGTCTCAGGCCCAGACTAAACTCAGCTGCATCCAGCACCCGGCTTGGCTCTCTGGGCTTGTAACTTCCAGATTCATGCAGGACTAGGGGGCTTGTATCGGGTTGATACAGGTGTGACCCAGGTGGTCACATTGGCTTCACCAGAGCTTCGGGATTTTGGGGTGTAGGGCTCGAAACGTAGGGAATTGCAAAAACGTCGGAGTGCAACCAAATGCTGGGCATCCCCCAAAGTGACCATGCGACTTGCAGTTTTTTCCTACGAGTGAATTACGCCTCAAAGCTCCATAAGTATGCTACGGCGTATCGACCTTCAACACATCAAATACCGCCGCCTGCATGCTGAACATCCACAGCAACCGAATGCCGCAGATGAGCCCTAAAGCTGACGTTTTCTTTGCGAAGCTAAAGTGTTATTTGCGATGCCGTCGTCGTCGACTGTGACTAGGCTGCTATGACTACTGCTACTACCACATCTAATACTGACAAAAATAGTTAACACAATCACGACACTAACCCCATTGCTTGTACTGCTACTGCCACTGCCTCTGCCACTACCACTATCACTGCCAGCACCATTGCTGCTGTTGCTGCTGCTACCACTACCACCACTACTACTACTACTACTACTACGACGACGACGAATACGACTACGACTACGACTACGACTACTACGACGACGACTGCTGCTACTACTTCTTCTACTACTACTACTACTGCTACTACTACTACTACTACTACTACTACTGCTCCTACTGCTGCGACGACGACGATGACGACTACTACTGCTACGACTACTACTCGCAGCAGCCGCCGTGCTGCTAGTTGAATAGCGGCGCTGGTAGACAGGATTCAGCATGAGAAGAGACGATCTGAAAAAGGTGAATACAAAGAGCACAGGTAGTACACGTGGCCGAGCGAAAGCAACAGCACCGATAATTTCCGTCCACATGGCTAGCGATTGAATACGAAACAGCTTGTTGCTGCCAGGGAATATGTGGAAATGTCCTTCGTCGAAGTCGTCGAAGTAGGTGCGACGACATTTGCAGAAATGTCTTTGCTGCTCAGTCGATGGTACTAGAATCGCCTGTTGTGTCTTGATTCATCTTGGTTTCCAGTGCATAGCATCGCCATCATCATCATCATCGTCACCATCATCATCATCGTCATCATCATCATCATTTTTCGTCTAATGGTGTTGATTATTCCCATCTTGCTGCCATTGTTGATGCTTGATCCTGCAAACTTTGTCAAGGGGCTTACTCCACTGAGGTGTCGGATGAACTCCCGCCTGCGCCCAATTTCATGCAGCTCCTTGGTCGATTCAAGCTGCTGGTATGTGCATTGTTTGCGTTGTCCCATTTTCTCTGTGTAACACGCGACCATATCCGTGCACACAATCCCCTAAGATAGGAACTAGCCTTCAAAGGCAGTTGTGTTTGTGTTGATGCTTCCTCGAAAGTGCATGGATGAACGGCAACCTCATGTACCTCGAAACAGTCATCAAGTCGCTGATGGCATTCGTTGTATAGCAGCATGTTGGTCGTTCCACAGAAATCGCACAGCTGAGGAGAACCATCATCGTCATCAGCATCATCACCAACGTTATCATTTTTAGCATGATGGCCGCACCACCCTCATCACTAGTGGAGTCGCAATCTCAATCAGAAACATCAACATCGTGCTACAACTTTCGTCGTCGGCTTGCTGTCGGTTCAGCCATCATGGTTTCAACACAATCATCCTGATAGGCTCGTGGAACGGAGTCAACTAGCAGGCGCTACGTTCTAGGCAGGCATTCTCAGAAGCTTATAAATTATAAATATGTCAGAAACTTCAAACGAAGTTCCAAACCTGTGCTGCTCATCATGATGATCATACGCATAGAGGTTCCACTTATGATGGTAATGCCAATGTGGTCGCTGCACCAGACACCACGATAGTCACTACTGGCATTGACCTCTGGCATGAGCCTTGGGCATGACCCCAATGCGCGCCCTAAATAGCAGGATCCTGGTACAAGGGAAATCTAAACAAGGCACCCCTCATTTAGACTGATTTTATGAAACTCCGTGTGGAGATTGCCGCGAAACTTGGAAACTCCAGATTGGGCCTCTACCCCCAACAGTTTGAATTCGGCCGCATCCGAAAGATGGCGGAGGAGGCGCCTCGACAGTGAATGCGTTGAGGTCGGAGCTCGTCTAGTCTTCACAGTCTTCTGAGTCTTCGTCTTCGCTTGGGGTTTCCCAAATCTTGAGGGCTTTTAGAAAGCTGTCCGGTCTTTTAACTGCGGAACTCTGCCCCTTGCGGCCTTGACTTTAGAGTTCGAAGTTCTGCTTCGTTAAGTTCGCCTCGGACAGTCGTATCTGACACAGCGTGCAAGCAGGTTGTGAGAATCTTGCAACGAGTAGATTTGAGAAGATGTCGGGGGTAGTTTTCTTTCTTTGCAAAACGACATGCTATTTGCTGCAGCTGGGAGCGAGTGGATTGCGGATTTTCAATCCGCTGCCCCTGACGAGGCTGCGTACTGGCCGGTGTGTTGGGAGCGAGATGTAGATCCATACGGCCCGGCGGAGAATGCCTCGGTGTTGGTTTCCATCGCGCCCCGCGGATTTATGCTCGAAAGCTTCATGGTTTGTTTAGTAACAGTGCGGCTGGTAGGACATGTAGCTGCTTGGGACGGTTGGTTCAACATAAAGCGTACATCTTCCTCTGTGAGCGAAGTTGCAGTCGACAGCCACCCAGGCAAAGGTCCTAGAGCCTTAGAGTCTTCCTGTCGCTTCCAGGCAATAAACATAAGTACAGGATTTTGGGGTTTAGACTGTCGGGTGTATGGGCCAAGGCACAGCCGAATGAGAGCCGCGGCATTCAACCTCGGCCTCGGCACCAATGTCACTCCCACCTGCGCCGAGCTGCTGGGCAGGGAGACAGAAACAGTGAAACAGCCAGGTAGCAAGTTTAATGCTTTGGGAGACATGGGGGCGGGTTGCAAGAAGTTTGATTCCTGGATTTGTTGCTCTAGAGGGCGGGCTTTGGCTCAGAAGAGTGGATGTATCATCACGAGGAGTCGCTGTGCTTGTGATGGTGAGATCGTTGTGGTTGTTCATAACAACGAAAATGTTGAACCAATCGTAACAACCAAGTAACCAAGGCATTACTAGCAAGCTAGACATAGGGAGCGAACCACCTCGTTCACCGTGTTTGTAATGCCTGCTTGCAACACGCTGGCGAACGAGCATGCCAGTTCTGTCATCTGCAGCAAGCCCCACAGGAGTCCCAACTACAATCGCCGCTCCCATAGATATGCTAACACCAATAGTAGAGCACGTGGAAGCTTGGCAGAAGCAACCTTGGCAGCAATGGTCGTCGCCTTCGCCGTGCAGCCTCGTCATCATCGCCGTAGTCGCAGTGGCGGTCGTCGATGTTGTTGTAGTAGCACTAGTACTAGAACTAGTACTCGTCGTCGTCGTAAAAGTCGAAGTACAGTAGTCTTCGTAATAGTCGTAGTAGTCGCAGTAGTCGTAGTCGTAGTAGCAGTAGTAGCAG